TTGAAGAAGTGGCTAATTCAGTTTGCAACTCAAATCAGCACATAAGTCCTTTCCCTAAAGAAAACCATCGTACTTTGATAGGCATCAGAAGGTCTTTACGCAGACTTCCATTATGTTACACCAAATATTAAAAGAACGTGTCCTCGGGAGTTGAGATTAATAATTAATCTCAGATTAACTTTTTAATAATATGAATAAAATTAATAACTTTTTACTTAAGGGCAAGGAAATTCTTAAGAGAAGCTGGAATTTTAAAACTATGATTTCATGGTGGTGGGGAAAAAAATGACTATCAGTACCTTTTACGGTCAAAGCCTTGATTTGTGCTAAGAAACCAGCAATTTTAAACAGCATCGCTTTTGCACCAGGGTGGCAAATGTCAAATATTGGAAAAGGAAAATAGCATCCTGGGACTATTATAAAATAATTTTGACTTCACCAACCTCTTGAGAGTGTCTCAGGAACCCTCCGCCCCTCCAGGGTCTTCAGATCTGACTTTGAGAACCACTGGCTGGCAGCATGGGCTGTGAAATTCCCTGGTTGTCCAGAAGATGGCAGTAGAGGGTTTTACTCAGGGACGAGGTACGAGGACCTTGGCTCTCACAGGAAGTTGCAATCCTTGTCTGGAGACCACCCTGGTCTCAATGCGACTTCGTTCATTGATCTTGGGTTTAATTTCACAATTGAGAAACTACCATCTCCTTGGGGAACAAATTGCTTGGATTTTTAGATCAGTACCTCATGGGCACTTGTTATTTTATTGAAGAAGAACAGATTTCAAGATGTGCTAATTTTACATGAAAACAGAGCACTTAATGATTGATTCATGTGTTCAGTCATTAATTCTTTCAACAAATGCTTCTTCAGTCACCTGTGAAGGTAAGACACCGTGAATAGTAGGCATGATCAGTCCACACTGGTTGCTAGGCAGGACCAAGGAGGCTAGGAGAGAAGAGGGCAAGACCTAACAGAGACATCTCTGCCTCCTGGGAACGTGAGACAGCCCAGCAGGAGACAGAGCACCGTGGTCAGCATCCAGGGTCTACACGTGAGCGCTCCATGTAAGACCCACTATCGGGTCAACAAGTAGCTCTGTCCTGCTGCAAATTCTGGTTCCCCAGTTCCCTCTGGTTCCCTCCCTGTGACAATCCCTGCTCTTCCTCATCACTGTGGAAGAGCATCAATCTGTCACTTCATCAAAGCATTAGAAAAAATTTTTTTTCAATCTTGTGTCCTTATTGAAATGCTGGCCTTGAATTTAACTTGAGATGCTTGATCCTCTGCAGGTGGATATTGGTTATTTAGAAGAACTGAATTATCTCCTGAGTTTTATTCTTTTCAGGCTTTACTTCAGCCATTTTTCTATTCCAGAGTAGACATTTTCCTGTTTTGGTTTTGCCACCCAGAATCTTTTTTTTCCTTCTTCGGGTACTCGGCCTCAGCTGTTCTTTACTGCAGCCCCCCTCCCCCGACTCTTTGTGCAATTTGGAAAGGGGCTGACTCCTCCTGAGCCAGATAGAAATCCCCAGGCCACGATGACTTGATTCGGGATGGGTATGTGACTCACTCTGGGCAAATGAGAATTCAAGGTAGAAAAATGTTTTAAGTCTCTGGAGAAAGCAGCTCTCCTTTTGCCAGTGGTATGACTTACAGATGTTTAGGTCTATAGATGCAGGCTTTCATTCGTCCAATATGAAAGGAGAGTCTGATTCTTGATGGAGCCCACAAAGGTGGAGGCAGCCCAAAAGAGGGGAGACTGAAGCCTGATTTAGCTCCTGGTTTCACCATGATGAAAGCAAGCTGTACCCCTGGACTTTTCAATTATGTGAATCAATAAATTCCATTATTTACTTTAGCCATTTTGTATTGAAATTTCCACTGTTCTTAAAAGAGCCCTCACTGACACATCTCCCTACCCAAGCACCAGATACCAAACTATATGGAGAACCAGAGAACCCAGCTTCCGAATACATCACACTTGCAAATCTTTACGCCTTTGTTAATTTTCCAGAATTAATCTCTCCAACTTCTCCATGTTCCCTGAGCACTCTTCAGATCCCTAAAATTAAAATACATTACACTTTTTATCATGCAGTTTGTTTCTGCACTTGTCTTCGATTTTGAGCTAAGAGAAGGAATTGCATCTTAATCACCATTATATCTCCAGGACTTAGCACAACACTGAGCGCTTATAAGATGTTTGATAAACTGTGATCCAATTAAGTTTCCAGAGTAGGAAAAAAATTTAGCCATGGTCTTCCATCTGTGGGGAATTCCAGCCCAGCATCATAGGCATTTGCTTGATCTGTAAGATGGAGTTTCCCAGCCCTTGGAGCCTTGGATGGCTTTTAAGTCCATTTTTTTCCCAGATCCATTCCTGGACCTTTCAGCTGAAGTGCTCTGTGTAACAGAGGGGATGACCTCTCCTGGTTCCATGTTATCTGACTTCCAGCTAGATTCCAGTGGGCACCAGTGGGCACCAACGGGAGTTTGGCAGGTGGAACAAAGGAAGAAGCCAGAGTGCTTCTCCTCTCTCTGCCTCAAGCAGGGACTCAGGTCACATCTGTGTGTCTCCAAAAAATAACCACATTCTGCTGGTCAGAATGACATTAGTTTCCATCTCAGCTGAGTGGCCATGACTCCTGGGCTCCAGGAACATTTCCTCTTTCTAAGGGAGTGAGAGCATCCTGCTCTTGCTAACCTCTTGGTTGCCTCACTGTCCTGTTTGGTTTTTCAACATCTTCCATGGCCTGTATAATCAATTCCAAGCATTTAATACCCTCTGTTTTAAATACTGGGTGGTTTCTATTTTCCTAGTAAAATCTGACTGATACTGTGGGGTGTTTTATTTTTTTAACTGAAGGATAGTCAGTTACAGTGTGTCAATTTCTGGTGTACAGCATAAAGTTTCAATCTTACATATACATACATATATTCCTTTTCATATTCTTTTTCATTATAGGTTACTACAAGATATTGAATATAGTTCCCTGTCCTCTACAGAAGAAAGATGTTGTTTATTTTATATGTGCCATAGTTTTTTAATGCCAATAACATTTAATTATGAATTTGGGTCTGGGGCCCTCAGAGAGGTTCCCTGTACCTCCACCACCCTCCAGGACGCCATCCACAGATCTAGAATGACCTTTCTAAGGGTAGTTATTTCCAGAAGTCCCTGTCAACATACAGATACTCTGTGTAACATTTCTTTCTAGGTCATACCTTCTGTAAGGAACGTGGGGCTGAGCTCTGGTTCATCTACTCTCCTTGAGACACAAACGCAGAGTTCTGCAACTCACCCTGTGAG